CAAATGGACTGTTTCAAGGTCGATCTGGTTAACTAGATCCCAGAGGATTTGGAGTGCTCGCAGAAATATCAAATATAAACGGAGAAACATCCCTGCGCTTAGTTCACTGATGACCATTGGCATAGACAGGCTGTCGTTAACCTGTGCATTTCGTTTGCGCTTATGAATTAGTGAAGAAATAAGGTTGAGATAAAATACGCGTCTGGGCAGCAATGTGGGTCTTCGGCGAGGTTGACAAATGGAAGAATGTATGATGTTATAGGAGAGCACGGAGGATGCTTCCGATTAGGTGGAATCAAATTCGTCCGTGTCAGTGGCAGTGAAGTCATTGCGAACGTTGTGGTGGTGCTATTATTGACTTGTGGGGAGGAAAGTGAAGCCCCACTGCCTATGGTTGTCTTTATTGCTTGAACAATTAACATTCCATCTCGCCTGAACAAACGGTATGACCTCGTAATCCAATGTGATGTGAGGAGAGTGATTTTGGTCGAGTTACCCGGCGTAAAGTGGGTGGTCAATATGAGATTCATACAACGTGGCTGCATGACATTCTTCGCCCACCCGACACGGGTCACCAAGTTTCAGGGATTTTGCCCAGTAAAGTTAGTACTGGAACTTGAGTGCGGTCCAGATATTTCGCTTGGTAAATCTGCCTGGACGAGGCAGACGCGTGTGTGACTGAAAGTGAAAAAATCGTACTTCATAGGGGATGTGCGTGAATGACATAACGATTGACGGAGCCATGCTAATAAATGCCCTGGAGTGGTTCTGTGTGTGAGCTTCATGAATTTCCAACCAGTTTCTTCAAATTTTAAATTTCACCGAGTGAGCAAATGTCTCTCGCAAAACCACACACGAATATGTTTTCAACTAAGTTCCAACCAGATCGCGCCGTATGAACTGTGTGTTTGAGCTGCTGAGCATGCACACTCTCCACTATATTGCACTTTTTCCGCAGTGAAATTCACCAGATTACAATGCGCTATAACGGGGACACAGGAAAATCTTTTCTAAGGTCATGGCTGGTGACTTGTTTGAGTACGTGAGATAATTTCATAATTCTGCCAAAAATTCTACACCACCGCTCAATACTGCACATCAGGTGGCGCGTCCTGAAACGAGGCAGCATCAACTTAACTCTTGTGTGGACCATATTTTTTCTCCATAGCAGCACTATTTGGTTGGTAGCAGTTAATCGTTGGTAATCTTGAATGACCTTAAACTTGGCATCCTTGATTTCGCGATGCCATTTTTGTGCCATAAGTGTCCTATGTTGCAGCAGTGTCTGTTGACGACGGCTGATCCTGAGAACTCAATGAGCACAGCTTTGTTCACACTGATTGAAGTAGTTTTCGACTGCGTGAACGCAGCTTTGTTTCTTCCAAGACGCACTCACCAGGTCCGCTTGCGTTTATTCACTAAGTGAGCAGTTTCAATTTGACCATATATATCACGACCTCCAACCAAGCTGAACTCCGTGAAATTATTGGTATCAGTAATGCCTGAGCACACCGACACAGCCTCCATTAGTTCTGTAGTTATCATCACTATGGGAGCACATTAGTCATTTCAATTTCTTAAGTGCGCACCCCGATATTTGTTACCCTGTCTACTGGTTCTCAAATCATTTTGAACAATGCTCACATCTTTGTTGGACATAACTTAGAAACGATCTAGACAATGGCGCAGCACAAGCATTCCGATTGCCTAGAAGCTTTTACGGAATTTTTACGTGCGCATCGGTCATCTATCCGGATAACCAACACATTCTGAATTTTCTCTAAGTTAGTCGAATTTTCCTCAAAGAAAATTGTGTCAGAATAATGTTTTCATTATTTGTTGCCAAATTTCAAACGCGTTTATCGTTTCACGGCCTGTAATCAAGTGGAGTAGAACAATTGTTTACTGACATATCCAACTACGGCCCGCAACTGATTATCCATTCATGAACGACTACAACATTGGTAAACATATTAACCCCACTGACCGTAAACAGGTTGCTCAGGGTTAAGAGAAATTCACACGGTGATTGAGAACCCGGTGGCAACGCGAAGACTGGTGATATTGAGTAAACGAGGGCGAAATCGAATGTCTCACGTGAATACACTCCTATCAGTCTTGTCAACAACCGCGAAATGCTCCCGCTCAATGTAGCTTCACCGAAAACACGGTTTTGAAGATTTTGTCACTTGTTCAAATGGTCATGGCGTGTGAGCGCACTATTCTCCTGATTAGTTCTAACAGGTTATGCAGCTATATAGTCAGGTAGTGTTGTGAGGCGACATGGGTCGGATACCTCAAATTATCTCTTATTCCCCGACTGGGGGGAACAACCCAGTCCGATAGGCAAAACAAGGACATAGCCGTCGAAATACCAGTTGGATGCGGTTTTGATGCGGCAACGTAAAGTATCGGCGAAGGCGATTGCATTCTCGAAGATTCGTGCGTGCACGTCTTCTGTCACCCTGACATCCTGTTTAAACCATCTTCCGAGGCCCCCGTAGCACACCACGACAAAAACTCTCGCGCGTAGAATGACTTCAGGCATGCGCAAAATTGTATTATGCCAGAAGAGTCATCCCTTTGTGTGTATCTGAGTATAATTGTGTATTCCATTAAGAAAAATCGGAATGTACGTGAAAGAATATGCGAACAGAGTGTGCATCGTATGCGAAAAGCATTGTTTGAATATTTTAACTCAGGTAGAATCTCCCAATTATGGATGCCAATAATCCTGAGCGCGTTTGCCCAACGGAGCAACAGTTCATCTGCTCTCAGGGCCATCCTCGAAATGTGTTCTACTCTTTATCGAGCTTCAGGTAAATAAAAAAATTGTTGACACAAACCTTGATTACCTGAGCGGGGGTCAGGCACTGCAACATCGGTGTTGACACCAATGTTTGCCGCCTCATTGTTGGTTTCGAGTTTGTCGACTTGATTGGCAAGGGTTGGATGGCGTGAGAAATTTGATTTTATTCCATTTTGCAGAATATCACTGGTCTTCAGGTCACCAATCCAACATTTTCAACGCAAGTTCAAATGTCTTGGAGGTCCATCATTGACAGCAGCCCTTCTGGTATTTTGAAGTCAGACAGCAACCGTTCGATTAATGCCAGGACGTCAGCATTGGCGACGCGACTATCACAGTTGGATTTCGAGAGTGACACGACGCGACGTCATCCTCGGTTGAACCAAGTGTTATGGGCTTTCGAGTGGGACAAACAGTTAGTTTCGGGGGCACCAGCAAATCCGCATTGTGTGGTGTGCATTGTGCATTGCGTGAGTCCGAATCTTTGTGGGACCCAGATGGAAAATTGGGCGACCATGTTTGTGTGACTAATTATCTTGACGTGAATTC